GATGGCCTCTCAACGTTCCTTCCAGCCCTGCTTTTCTATGATTCTATGAGATTCTCAGTAATCTCATGACTCCAAGAGCTGAGGCTTTATGGGAAACACCAAGGGGTGGTCTACACTGGGGGGGGGGGGAGATCAATCTAAGATACGCAACTTCAGCTACGTGAATAGCGTAGCTGGAGTCGACGTATCTTAGATCGATTTACCTTGGGTCCTCACGGCGCGGGATCGACAGCCACGGCTCCCCCCTCAACTCCGCTACCACCTCTCGCTCTGGTGGAGTTCTGGAGTCAACGGGGAGTGCGTTCAGGGATCGATTTATCGCGTCTAGACGAGACGCAATAAATCGATCCCTGATAGATCGATCGCTACCCGCACATATCCCAAGTATCGTGAGAGCTGGCAACATTGGTGTCTACGTGAAAGTGGTGATGTCACGTGACTACGGGAGTAATTGCACTAATGTCTGTGCTAAGTTTCTGAGCATGCTCTGTGTGAAATGGATATTTCTGGAATCTTGAGCCATCTCCAACTGAGCCGAATGCTCCTGCAGTTAATTGAAGTGCTGCCATCCCAACTGGCAGGCCTGACTCCTAAGAGCTTGACTAAATATTGCAAGCACCACATCCTGAATCAACACCACCACCTCTTGGGAGCCCCCTAGAGGTCTCTTACCCGGGTACTGATCAGGCTCAGCCTCGCTTAGATTGTGACTTTGGACAAGGTCGTAGTGTTTCATTAGTAATCCGTGATGCGACACGCAGGCAGAGTAATAGGAAAGAGATCTTTGCTGAACTTGTAGAAAGGCCAATATTGCATGCTCAGGCTGTGGAGTTTGTGGCTTGCATTCCTGAGCTCTGGGTGTTAAACTAAACTAGGTCTCCTCTTCCTGGTGTCTGTGGCATCATGTTTATTGACACAGTTGCCAGGCACTGGAAAGGCTCGTGCTGCAGCATGAATGCCCATAAATTGGCTCAAGAAATTATTTCACTCTCCAAATATCAACAAAAGCTTCTTGTCGTGGAGTTGATCCCTTTTTCCCCTTCCCCATTCACTGAAGTCATCATTTTTCCATTGTGACATCATGATTTGTTGCCAAGGAAACCAAACTGTCAGGATGAGAGTGTTCTGTCTAACAGATGCATCTTCCATTGCTTGGTTGGGTGTTGTGGCGCTAGACACCTGGTTTGGGGGTTGTCCTGTGAGAAGAATGACGGAAAGATTCTAGTGACGCTAGGCCAGGAAGCTGGAGTTGCGAGATTTTTGTGCTTGGTTCTGGGGGCAAAGACAATTGCCAGAGAAGTCTGAGCTACTGGACAACTCAAGAACGAAATGGCTTCTCAGGTCTCTCAGCTGGAAGGAGAAGAGTGGCCCTTTGTGGCCAATCAGAAAGGAGAGAAGCAGTTCTAGCTGGTGTGGGACTATCCTCCAAAGAGGCGTATTGGATGAAAGATCCCCGGGAATTAATATATAGGGTGATTTTTTTTTTCCACTCAGGGCCTAAAATATCACAAGGAATATTTGAGGAGGAACCACAGCCAGGGCCGGCGCTTCCAGTAGGCGACCCTAGGTGGTCGCCTAGGGCAGCAGGATTTGGGGGGCAGCATTTTGCCGCCCTCAGCGGAAATTCGGCGGCGAGGGGTCCTTCTGCTCCAGATCTTCGGTGGAAATTCGGGGGCGGGTCCTTCACTTGCTCCAGGACCCGCCGCCGAAGTGCCCCAAAGACACGGCGCGGAAGGACCCCCGCTGCCGAAGACCCCAGGCCCTCTGAATGCTCAGAGGAGGAGCGCTGCCGCCTAGGGCGGCAAAAACCCTGGCGCCGCTCCTGACCACAGCCCAGATTCTGGGAGAGGTGAAGGGCGGCAGTTTAGTGCATGTAATAACAGCACACAGGAGGAGCCAGATACAGAGAGAAATGGAGCTGAAATGAATGCCTCTTCCCTAGGAGAGCGGGGTCCCTTTTGGAAGCTGGTGAATATTTATGGTGTTTCTCTCCAGCAGCCCAAGCCCAAATGAACCCAGACCACACATCCCGCTTGCAGCTGCCTCACTCTCAGCCATTGCAATTAGTGCACTCCCTGCCCAGACCCCCACAGCCTCTTGTAACCATTCTCAGAGCTCTTGTACCTGAGCTGACAAATCTTCCTCCAGGCACAGAGTTTAATATAACTGACTCTCTACAGGCGAATAGCAGCTCAGAGGGCAGATTAAAAGCAACCAGCTGTGTGAGCACCACACAGCTCATCTGGCTGGTTACCTCCCCTCCTAAACCCCATTCTAGTTTTAACCCTTTAGATACTGCAGAGCTCTCTCTCTCTCTCTCTCTCTCTCTCTCATGCATGCATTTATTCTACTGTTATTGCTAGACTGAGTCTATGTGAACTGCATATACTCCGGGCCCTAACCATTCATTTGGCCTGCAGTCTTGCGAAATGCCACTGTGTTAGGTGTTGTCCATACACATGGTAAGAGACCACAAACCACAGAGTTTGTGGCTTGCTCAGAAAAAAGGGTGGGGAAAGGGAGGAGTTGTTATTATCCCCATTTTACAGAAGAGGAATTGAGGCACAGGTTAAGTGGGTTGCCTGAGGTCACACAGGGAGTACATGGAACTGAGCATAGATCTCCTGAGTCCCAGTCCAGTGCCTTATCCATGAGGCCTCCCTGTCGCTAAGATGACTAGGAAGAGGCGTGTCTGTTGGTCAAGGAAATGGGAGAACAGTGGGAAATGACAGTGCCCTCCTCATAGACTCCAGTCAGGCTGTGTCTCTGTGAGTGAAAGTTGCCACCCCAGCAGGCCTGGCAGCTGCCAGTAAATGCACCAAAAATTACAATCAGACGTTTTTACGGAAGGACTTTAAAGACTGTTGCCGTGGAAACAGCTTTAGACAGCTAGTTTAAGGATGGGTGGATGGAGAGAGAGAGGAAGATAGATGCTGAGAGAACATTTTAGGCTTGGAGACATACATAGCAGCTGGTAAAGGCAAGAGTCACTAACTGAGCATGGAGGTTATAGAGGGCACTAGATCAACTGCATGGCTCCTGGCAGCTTGTGCTGATGCAAGGACTCCATGAGGAAAGGAGCAGTGTGGGATTGATTTTGCACCTCAGTTTAAATGACTGAGGTACAGTCCTGGAACCTTCAACTTAAACACAGATTTAATTGTGAGTATATGTTTAGTGAGAGGGGTTCTCTCAAGTCCAGATTGGTTTAATAATAACAAACCTCATTTAAATCACTTGCTTGTTTGCATTGATTAAGAGTAAAGATAGCACATATACAGAGAGACATACAGCTCCCAACACCTATGGAGAAACTGCCCTGTAGTTTGCTGACAGCCTGCATTCAGACTCCAAATGGTCTCCACTTCCTCCTGTTTGCTCAGGGCAATTATACCCTTATTAATCTTTATTGCATATCATTCCAACCCCTATCCACTTCCTCATTTTAGTATATACTTCTTATCATAGGTTATTTTCTAAGTCCTCTGTTCCCTTGCAGCTTTGCCGCTGCCTCGATACCATCTAGTTAGTCATTGCGTATTCCCTTTTGCGGGGTTATGTTGTTAAGACACTAACAACTGAGTCTGCCACGTTCTGAGATGATATGGTCCTCTGAGATGATATGCCAAATTCACAGGTTCCAGCAAGAAACATCTAGCCAAAGCACAAGCTGCCAAGCAGATGGATAAATAGCTCAGTGGTCACATGGTTTGTTCAGTTCTTCATACCTTTGACACATATTCGTGGTTAATATTCCTATACCTGCTGCAGCAATTTCTAAAGGTTATTACTTAGAAAAATTCCATTCCTTAAAGTTAGCTTAACTGCAAAGCATCATGGGACTCCCCCTCCCCCGCAAGCCTTAAATTCTTTCTTTGGTCTGTTTTAAGCGTCAACAGAAAGTAGAGTGAGTAATGGCGAATCCATCACCATTGTGGCTGATAGCACTATCCCAGCACTGCCATCCCTTCCAGAGCAGAATAATCATCAGTATTGTCGAAAGTACCTGCCCAAATGAATAAGAGCCGATCATGTATCAGGTGCATGTGGCTGATAGTGTTTATGGGGCATATTCTCAGCATTCATTATCCATGCAATATACTGTGGCTCTCCCCCTTTCCCCTTTCATCCAGCAATCTCCAAGCACAAACACTAGTCGGCCTTTGGCTGCTTCTTTGAGGGAGGTCAATATTCTCATCTCCATTTGCGCAGATGAGGCACAGTTAAGGGGAAGCCCAATGTCCCGCACCAAGCCAGTGACAGAGACCGGATTAGAACCCAGGGATCCTGAGTCCCATTTCTCTGGTCCGTTGACTAGATATCACTCTTGTCTAGTTTAAAAGGGCAGACTCATAAACATAGTGCCAAATCCACCCTTAATTGTAATTTGATTGCAACAACCAACAATTGACTGCAGTAGGTTTGTCCAGTGGCATCTCTTTTTATGAGTCCTGTCTGACCTCATTGCTAGAGACGGGGGCGACATAAAGAGCTGCTGAAACGCCAGGGACGAACTTTGTAAAACAGTTGATTTTTAGAACGTTTTCTGCTCCTTCATGTGCCGTATTCCCCTCCCCCCTCGTTTTGCCTTTAATCAGATATTTTCATGGAAACGTTTCTAGCTTGTGAGATTCGCTTCCTGCTGTTTATTCCTCGTGTGATTTCACAACGCTCTGCTTGGGACCTCAGTGCTGGTTGCCGTTTAAATAGCTGTGATGGCATACAGAGAAGCTTACTTGCGGTGACCATGCTGTGGGACCGGGTGAATATAGCTGGTTGGGAATTTTTGGACTAAACAGTTTTTTCATCAGAAAAGGCTGTTTCATCAAACCGCAAACTTGTCCCACAACAGGGTATTTTATCAGAAGGGTTTCTCAGGTCCAGGATGGAATTTCTGCTCAAAACCAGAGAGAAAGCACATGCGTGAGCAGGGACTTGCTGTCATAAATCAGGCAGAGCAAGGACTTGAACCTGGTTTTCCTATTTCTCACATGAGTGCCATGACCGCCGGTTCCGGGGTGGGTGAGGTGGTTCTCACTCGCTCTCCTCTTTTTCTCTGTTTTTTCATGACAAATTTTGAAAGGTCTAGTTTCATCCCAGTGAAGAACGGGAAATGTTTAGAAATCACAAAAATTCTTGTGGGATGAAAAATCCATTTCCCGCCCAGCTCTACAGGTGAGCTCCAGAGAGACACAGGGTTCAGCTCTGTTCTCAGATACAGCAGCATAATGCTAGAGTCAATCCATGGCAGTCAATTACATTATACATTGTCCCTGGGAAATTCAAGATGAAATTCTGCCCTTGTCTCTCTGCACTTCATGAAGTCAGTGGGGTGTCTTTATACCAGTGTAATTCACAACAGGATTTGCTCCTCTATCTTTATCCAACTTTCCCACTCTAAAAGTCTGGGACAGTTTGCTAAAGAGTCTGTAATAATGGAATTCAGATCTCGGTTTAGGTGCAGATTTCAAACTCCTTTTCTCTACTCAGATTCAGTTTGGTTCCTTTTCTGCTCATTAGTAAAAAAAAAATTAAAAGGTGAAGAGATGGGAGAGATGCCCAGAAAATAAACACGTCAGCACATCCAAACGCAACTCGCTGTTCTAGTCTGGTAGGGAGGCACCCCATGACTCTTCCAAACAAGTTGCTCTATTTAGTGATGGGATGCGGGTGACTTCCCTTTTCTATGAGTCTGATAATGGCATTTCACACTGGCATGGCAGCTTTTGCAAACAGGCCTTGGGTGTTTAACAAAGGAGGATCAGGGTTATTGTCCCCATTTTACAGGCAGGGAAATTGAGGCTCAGACACATGGCCTAGTTTTTCCATGGGTGCCGAGCCACCCACAATTCCCCTTGCAGTGACTTGACAAGGGACTATACAGTGAGTTCGTAGCAGAGTCAAGGATTAGATCCCAGGCTCTCCTGGTTCCCAGTTCTGAATCCTAATCCCATGATAGGGATTCCCCCCACCCCGTGCCGCACGCTGCCTGTGAGATAAATAAGAATTGTTACATGCCTCCTCCACAAGCCCCACTGCCTTTTCTGAAGATTCAGCCTCCTCCAAACCTGGATTCTTCATGCCTCAGCCCCAGCAGTCAGGCCAGGAGTAATTGAGCAGCAGGCTGGGATCCAGCAAGACAGCCCAGCATGAGTCTGCAGCAAATGGCTTCTTAGTGATAAGAGGTTTTTCCAAGACTCTGGTCCCCCTGTGTTTCCTTTTCCTAGCAGGGCAGCGTGCACATGCTTTAAAAGCGCCTGGTGCAGGCTATGGTTTGCTGGCCAGCGTGTAACAGTATCTCTGTCACAGAGAGCCACTGGGCCATCAGTGTGCACTATGGAGCCATTGGCTCGCATGGCTGGTCTAATCTCCCAGCCTGACCATTGCCAGTGTTTTCAGTTTGGTGTTATGTAGACACCATGTTGCAATCAAATTGCTATTTAAATATGCAAATCCTGCTAGGAAAGACACAATGTAAATTGTTTGTTTATTCTCCTCCCAGCCCCCAAAGCCATAAATTATTAATTTTTGGAAGAAGTGGTGTGATCTCAGCAGCGGCATGCTTTTCACCAGCAGTGGGGTTGATTATAACTTGTGTAGGGTTTTCCTGCAGGGAGAGGGATTTGTATCATCCAGCTTCAGATCACCATGCCAAAAGACTAGGAGACCTTCGAACTGAACAAGCCATGTGACCACTGAGCTATTTATCCATCCACTTGGCAGCTTGTGCTTTGGCTAGATGTTTCTTGCTGGAACCTGTGAATTTGGCATATCATCTCAGAACGTGGCAGACTCAGTCCTTAGTGTCTTAATATTTTAAAGGACTTCCCCACTGGGGAGGAGGTATGGTAGTCAGCATGAGTCAGTCCTCCTCTTGGACGCTCTGATAGCATGAAACTTTGGGGCTGGTTCTGCTGTCAAACCCAGTATGTATTGGGGGAGATCCACTGTAACCAAAGGGTGAATTTCGAACGAGTGATTTTAGAGGCACAAGTCCCATTTCAATAGGACGTGTGATCTGGAGTCACTTAGAATTAGATGCTTTTGAAAATCACATCCAAGGTGTGTGTGTGTTGTTTTTTTTTAAATTCACGCACAATTTTGTCCCTGAGTCAGAGAAGAAAGGAAGACAGAAAGAAGCATGTGTGTGACAAATGATAGTCATTTCACTTAATGCACTTCTGAAAGGAGCTCAGATACCATGGTGATGAGCAGTATAGGAACCTGACTAGAATAGAAGAGTGACCACTGTAATCAGATCAGATCCAGCTTCTGTCTCTAAATCAATATGCAATATTTACCAATCCTACTCCTAAAAACTATCAGCTCCCCCATTTTGACAGATGTAATATTGAATTTGGGGTTGTGGGAAAATGGGAAGTCAATAATTTTAAATGGTTTATTTTTGAGAACATGAGTTATACCGTCACTGTATAAACATAAAGACCCTGATTCTCCTCTCACGCCAGTACAAATCAGGAGTAACTTCACTGAAGTTAATGGAATTATACTAGTATAAGTCGGATTAGAATCCATGGGCAAAATTTTCACACAGCCTTAGCATCTGCAATCCGGATCAGATTTCCAAAGAGCTCCGCTCCCATCCAAGCATTTAGTGGTCAGATTTTCAGAAGAACAACTCACACTGGGTGCAGGTTGCATGCTGGGCACTTTTGGATATCTAGCTCCAAGTGCCTGTGTATAGGGCAGGCTTAAAAGTAATAGTGGAGTACCTGTTTGTTTGGTTTTGTTTTTCCATAATCCAGGGTGTATTATTGCTCATCTCTGATTCAATAGGAGACATATGTTGAAAGACAATTTCTTTCTAAATCTCTTTCCTTTTCCCCAAAGTTCAGTAGAGTCATAAAGTCAATGGAACGGCACAAATGTATGTCAGCTGAGGATCTGGAAAGGTTTTCTTTATTATTTGTCATTGTTATTGTGGAAGCACCCAGAGACCAGGGTCCAATTGCGCCATGCGCTGTACATACAAAGATCAATGTCCCTGCTCCAAAGATCTTGCAATCTAAGCTTAAGACAAAAGGCAACATCTGAATCCAACAGCCAGGTGGGAAGAGAGCAAGGTAATAGTGAGACAATTGTGATCAGCCTGTAAAGTTGCCGTTTCACCATGCCAGCTTCCCAGTTCTTCCACATTTCCTCGCTGGAAGTCTCACTATTTCTCATAGTGTGTGGAAGTAATGTTGCAGTGAGATGTAGAAAGAGCCTCAGCTTTAACTCGTGCTCCCTCACGTTGGTTGTGAGCATTCCTTGCCTTATGTCTCCTGTATGCAAACACTGATTCTGCATTTGGTTTCTAGCCTGCCTGTGCTTTTGCACATTCAGCTGTAGTGACATAACCTGTCATCTGCCTGTCTTTTTTCCAGATCCGAGCAGATGGCCCCCCCCATGGTGGAATTCAGTATGAAATGGTCTCCGTTTTCAAGGATGGGAGCCCTATCCTTCGAGACATGGCCTTCTCCACCGACCAGAAGTATCTGTATGTCATGTCAGAAAGACAGGTAAGCAGTGCTCTTCTACACCTCCGTGGCTGCAGCTTTACTCCTGTGCACTGTACCAAAGCCACAGTTCCGGGGTCAGTACAGGTAGGTACAGTGCCAAAGGAAGCTTAACTGACTAGAGACAGCCATTTGTGCATGAGGGGTGAAAGAACTTCCATCCATGCTAGCACGTTATTGTCTGTAAGAAATGGAGATTGGGCTGAGTTGCCATCAGCGAAATATGGTTTGGGGATTTGGATCGTAGTCTGCTAGGAAAGTATGTCCCAAGCACAAGACTCACCCATTCATTCCCCTCAGCAAGTTTGGCAGGAGGCTGATTTTGCATAGCTTTGCTGGAATGCCCGTTATGATTTTTTTTGTTTTCTGGATTTAGTGAGATTTTTTTTTTAAATGCTTATGAAAGCGAGTGATTGTTGCAAACAGGGCTGGAACCAGGACATGATACAGGCAGATGCTGTGCAAGCAAGTTCTTCCAATGCAACTAAGTGTTCAGTTACGTCATCCCTTGCTCTACTAGTCCTGAGCTCTGTGAATTACCCCAATCTGGACTTTTGGCTACTCCTTCGATTCTAGTCTCAGGCATGTGTGCACATATCCTGGGAAAGGTGGTCTAGTGGATAGGGCACTGGAGTGACATTCAGGAGAACTGCTGTCTATTCCTGGCTCTGCCACAGGCTTCCTGCATGATCATGGGCAAGTCACTTAGTCTGTACTCTCTTAGAGAGTTCCCTCTCTCTAAAATAGGGATACTTTCCTATCTTACAGGGGTGTTGTGAGGCTATATCTATTAATGGTTATTTCTTATACGATGAGGGTCATCTAAGTACTGAGATGCATGCACAGTCCTTTATCTACATTCTTAGAGCTCTGCTAATGCGCTTTAGTCCCGACTTGCATCTTCCCAGGCTCTCAGCTCCGTCTGTGCTCCTCAGTCCTGACCTACCCTACCCCCTGGAACAGAAAAAGCTGCTTGTGATAAATCAGGCAGCAATTTCTTGGAGACTGTTTCACACCACAGAAGACTAGCCTGACAAAGTTAAAACTCATCTCACTTGTGAGCCCAGATCAGAGGTCAGGCTATTAACTCACTCCAAACCAAAGTGAGATTTCAAGTAGAAATACAGAGAGAGAAAATCAGCGACTGAGTCATTGCCTCCTGGCAGTGTCAGCTCCTCTAAGATTCCCCAATATTTACCGTCTGCGGGGCCTTTCCTCTGAACCTGTTTATGAGCATGATAAACTGCCCCTCTGAAAAGAGGAACCAGACTGTACAAAGCAAAACTAAAATGATTATGATGGCAATTTATGGCCTGCAGTCCACTGGAGTCTGTTGCTTAAGGGAGCCAACACAGTGTTAATAATACAGGACCTCAACTGTAACAGAGCTGTATGAGCCATTCCTCTCTGAGATGAGGAAACACAAGCGGTCCCAACCGCTAAGCCAGGCTCTTGGGTTCACTGACTCCGTTAAGCATTTTAGTGGCCATCACTCACAACGATATAATACAGATTAATAGGGCTGGTGCTCTGTGATTGGGGGAGGGTGGGAGGTTACATCTGAAGAGGTCCAGATGTCAATGGATTTTTCCATGTTGAGTTAACCCCGTAGTCACTATGAGGCACAATACTGAATGTGGAGCTTTCTGCACCTATTAGCACAGAAATGCCCCTCCCCCCCAAATCCACCCTGCTTGAAAAGGTGGTAATGAAAGACTCATTAGCATAAGTAGGGCTGGGAGCTTGTCTCAGATTTATGACACGGGGTGTGTTCTTGTTTTAATATTACAGAGCACCCGAAGGCCCTAATCTATTTTCTGTGGTGAACGGGAAGTCAGTCTGAGTCCCATACCGTTAGAATAGGAAATGCCCACAGCTTCTGCAACTAGAAGGAAGGGCACCTGCGTTTCCTTCGCAGCTGAATTCCTTCTGACCTCCTCAGCCTCCTCCTGGAATTATTCAGAGCTCAGCCTCAGCCTGACATCTGAATGGCACAGCTAGAAGGTGGTTGTACAAGGGATCACAATCTCATAGTTATCGCTTGGGACCAGAGCAACTTAGAGGAGTCAGGCTACTTGTCAGAATGTATTTTTTTTTTTTTTAATCATGGCTGCAGCCCGCCATGTTGTAGTGTGCCTATGCAATTCCCCAACAAGAAGGAGAGTGGGAGGTATTACAAAAGGTCTTGAGGTTGCAAATCAACAGTAACAAATGTATAATCACCTACGTGCTTTGTGCTATCCTACACCATGCTGCACAGCATGGCCACTAAGAGCTCCTCAGTGATAGAACCCAGATCCTCCTACAGTAAAAACACAGGCCAATTCCACTTGAATTAAAGGTGAATATCCATTAGCTGTTTGCATTATAGAGCCTATGATACATATGGGAGCCACTCTGGGTCCATCCACTAGAAGGCAGTGACACAATAGACAGTGTTGCTTAGTGGACAGAGCACTGGACTGGGATTCAAAAGACCTAGGTTCTGTTCCTGGCTCTGCCACTGGCCTGTTGAATGACCCTGGGTAAGTCGCTTCCTCTCCATGGGCCTCATTTTCCCTATCTGTAAAGTGGGGATAATGTTACTGACCTCCTTTGTAAAGTGTTTTAAGATCTACAGATGAAAAGCGTTGAATAGCAGCTAGGTAGTAGTATTATAGTCACACTAGTTCGTTCATTGTCATTTGCAAAAGAGCATCTGTGAATCATGTCAGAGCAGAGGAGGCGGCGGGAGAAAAAAATATTCTCTAGCTGGAAAGTTATTTAATACCAGAGAATAAATGGTTTATAGAAGGAGTAGGGAAGCTTTCTCCCGAAAAAGAACATCCCTGTAGTTAATTAAGTCATCTGATTATAGCAACTTAGTAATAGAAACTACTATAAAGAGCTACAAATTTAGGACTTCTTCCCAGAATGCACTACTAGGCCACTGGATTAGACAATTTCTTCAGTTTATTTTACTTGGCAGTGAGTCCATGATGCTATGCCCAGGCAGAGAAACTAAACATTGCAAAGAGCCATGTGACTTTTCTAAAATCAAATGCCCCAGTTTAAAATGTGGATGCTGCCATCGTTTTCCTGGGGAGCCACATTCTCTCTCACACACACCCATAGAAGGGAGAAAAAACAACTTGAGTTTCAAATAGGTTTCCAAGGGAAATCCAGCAGGGATGCCTCCAACTCATCTCTTATGAGGCGAGAGGGCCTAAATATTCATCAAAGTTGCTAATTTGCTTAATTGTGAAGCAAAATGATGTGGAGAGAATTAGTAAATAATGAAACCTACCTGGAGCGTAAATTCTACTATGAGCTGTAGATGTATGTGCATTGCAATGGCAATGGCTGTTGTGTCTCCCGTGTTAGTAATCCACAAATGATAGACGCCTGCTGCGTTCCCTGTTACTTACCTGACTTAGGCCCAGATCCCCAAAGGTATTTAGTCTCCAAATTTACATTCGGGGGTGGGGGAGTGGGATTTGAGCCCTTACTCCCTTAGCCCAGGTGGTAAAGGTCTGTGATTTGGTGTTAGAGATCATAGGGCATCATTCTATATGGAATTCTCCATCAGTCTTTCTCCTTACGACCCTGCATCCCTATAGCCTGGTGATGTGATAGTTCAGCAAAATATGCGGGGTAGTATTTTTTTTCCTTGAATCCTGTGCAGAAAAGGTGCCCAGTGATTTAAAAGGGGTCAGTACTGAGAAAAGCAGAAAGGCCCATCAATTGCAGAAGCTGTGAGGCTGTAAATAGTGGGAAATGCCTTTAAAAGAACTGAAAATGCACAATAAAAATGTCTTTAAAGGTCTTGAGTCCCAGAGGAAATTTCACTCTGTTTTCTACCCAAGTTAAAGGGACACGGACAGGTAGTTTAACCTTGAAGTAGAGCTGCCAGAAATTATTTATTCTGGTGGGGAAGGTCATCCAGATTCTGTGATGCATGTTACTCTTTCCTCTTTTAAACAGATATTTAGCATCTCTCTGTAACCAACTTTTTAAACCCCACCATTTTTGTAGGGTCCACCAAAACACATGCACATCCCTGCTTGTTCAGCTGTGTCTCTTCACCAACACCACTGATGATACTAGTGAAAACTAGGAGGTGAAATAAAAGGATCTGTGTTGGGTTGGTATTACACAGAATCCAGAAGCCATATCAAAGTGGGGCTGTGGGGCTATTTTCCAACAAAAAAGCTCATCATCTTGCACATTTAAAGGTGGCTGGTATCAGGTTTATGCTTAAATGAATTGGAAAGAACAGGTATCTAATCCGAGAGCCTGGAGTGCCATCGAGTGTATGGTGGTTCCACCTTCACAGTGGCTTTTGTCTCGTTGTCCTACCCCCACACTTCCCAGTGGTGGCAGTTCACTCTAATTTAGCTCCCGTCCCCATGTGCCCCTTTCATGTTCTGTCACCAGCGTTTTCCAGTGCCGACTATTTGATTTCTCTCATGTCTTTTTAACAGTAAAGGAGCAGCACCAACTACTCTATAGCCCAGTTTAAAGGCAGACAAGGAAAGAGAAACTCCATTTCCAGGGCTGTCTTCAGGGTACTGTCAAATGTATGCTTTAGAAATTATTATTAGGGTGTGTTACGTGGGATGCAGTCTTAGTCCTCTGTACACTTCGCTCTAAATAGCTCTCAGGTTATAAGAGAAGTGTGTCTGTAGCAGAAATTCAATCCCCCAAAAGTTCAGCACCATTCCACCAAACAACATCTTCGCTAACAGGCCGCACAGGACTTAAATAGCGCTAGGAGGCAAGCTGTATTAGCAGAGCTCCGTCGGGGGCCAGTGCTGAAGTAACTCCGATGGTTGCGGATCAGGACTGAGATGCGTGGGCAGATCTGCAATGTCCAAAGACTGGAATAGCAGTAGGTGCTCTAGGTCAGGGTTGAGATGCATTGGCAGAATTATGTGGTGTTTCAGGACAGGACTAGCCAGAGGTGTTGCAGATCAAGACTGAGATGCATTGGCACATCTGTGATGAGGGAATGCCAGTTTTAG